GTGCTGGACCTGAAGGGCAAGGTGCGGAGCCGGGGCGGCCTGGCCTGGGGTTCCCGCGCTGGGCTCGGGCCCCTCCGCATCCCTAGGGGCCCGGCGGGAGGGCTCAGGCTCTGCCACCCCCAGCCTCTGCTGGACCTGAAGGGCAAGGTGCGGAGCCGGGGCGGCCTGGCCTGGGGTTCCCGCGCTGGGCTCGGGCCCCTCCGCATCCCTAGGGGCCCGGCGGGAGGGCTCAGGCTCTGACACCCCCATGCTCCCTCCCCACCTCGCTCGGTGCGTCCCCCTCCCCCGCCTGGGGTGGGGACCCCGGTTCCTCCAGCCTGCCCTGGGGCCTCAGGCGTGCCGGGAGCCTGCCGAGAATGCTGCCTTGCTTCAGCCGGAAGCTTTGGGCTAGACTTTGTGCTGCTGATCAGCTGCAGTGGTGCAGGAAGTGCTGGTTTTGGTAGCTGGCTCCCTTCCTCCTCCCGCTCTCCCTTCTGGGGCCTTTTATCCTCTTCCTTCGTGAATAAAAACTCATGCAAGTGAAGTGGGTTTGATTTTGGGGTAAGTGAAATGGAGATCACCACTGCTTGTGGAAACTGAAGCTACAGAGACACTTTAGCTAACTTTCCATATTTCATCGTATTCCATTTTGGGGTAATTAGATTTGGGGTAATTTCCTCCAGGGTAGATTGTCAGAGACCCTGGAGGTTTTTCGCCTTCCTGTGTAGCATGGAGCACAGATCAGAGCTGGAGGATTCTCTGCATCTTGGGGTCTTCAAAGTATTTGAAGGCTTCAATATCTGAGACATAGGTGAAAGGATTATTCTAAGAGGTGTGGGTGAGATTCTGTGGCCTGCACTGTGCAGGGGGTCAGACTAGATGATCATAATGGTCCCTTCTGACCTTAAACTCTATGAGATTCTGCATATTTAAGTACATTCTGAGGTTTTGTTCTATCATCTAAATATATTCTGTTCCCAACATTGATATTAGGGATGTGAACGGGTAACTGGTTACCAGGTAAGCATCACACTTAGGCTACGTCTAGACTACCCCTCTCTGTCGACAGAGAGGTGTAGTCTAGGCGTAGCCTTAATGGGTGATACTCTACTGGGTAATGGTTAACCATTACCCAGTAGAGTATCACCCATTAAGGCTACGCCTAGACTACATCTCTCTGTCGACAGAGAGGTGTAGTCTAGGCGTAGCCTTAATGGGTGATACTCTACTGGGTAATGGTTAACCATTACCCAGTAGAGTATCACCCATTAAGGCTACGCCTAGACTACATCTCTCTGTCGACAGAGAGGTGTAGTCTAGGCGTAGCCTTAATGGGTGATACTCTACTGGGTAATGGTTAACCATTACCCAGTAGAGTATCACCCATTAAGGCTACGCCTAGACTACATCTCTCTGTCGACAGAGAGGTGTAGTCTAGGCGTAGCCTTAATGGGTGATACTCTACTGGGTAATGGTTAACCATTACCTGGAAGAGGTCCGCTGGCTATTCCAACTCTGTGGGGCTGAAAGGGGGACTGTTGGCTCCCAGCCCTTGTGGGATTGTGGAGTGTGAGTTAGACTGTGTGCCCCCATTTAATCATTTACTTGTTAACTTAATGTTTAACTGGTTAACTAATTAAACATGATGTTCCATCCCTAATTGATACATGCTATTTAATAGCTGCTGAATGGATTCTAAAAGCTATGCTTAAGTTGCGAATGAAAGATTTCAATGTACAGTTTGTCATTCAGTTAGTGAAGAATTTTGGGGTTCCACTGCCTAAAAGTACTTCCCATGTGTCAGATGATAACTTCAGCATTTGTTTTTAAAACCTATTCAGATTTCTGTTGCATGTCTATTGCAGGTCCTCATCTGCCGGAATTACCGTGGAGATGTGGATATGTCTGAGGTGGAGCACTTCATGCCAATTCTTATGGAAAAAGAGGAGGAGGGAACACTTTCTCCCATTCTAGCTCATGGAGGAGTACGTTTTATGTGGATTAAACACAACAATTTATATCGTATCCTTTAAAGTGTCAAACTGTTAGTATGGTGAAACTGATGAACATGGTGGATTTTCAGAATTTGTACTTGAATGGAAGTAATAGGATAACAGGCTTACTGCTAAGAATTTTATTGATCAAGATTTACAAAGATGCAAAAAATATATAAATAGGAGTTTTTTCATGACATACCTTATTCCAGTAACGTGTATAAAAGTGTTAAAGTGCCAATTTAATATAAGTATTTCCTGAATTTTTAGTCCTCTGCCCCCAGGAGTTAAACCATCAAAAATAACATAAACCCCAGAATTTTCAATATCAAATGACTCTGGAAAGAGGAATGTCATTGCTGCTTCCTTAATATTTGGGCCAGCTGTAATAATATAGTAAATGCGTTTTGAAAATGTATTTAATTATAAGCATTTTTTAAAAAGTGTAACTTTAAACTCCAATTCCTGAACATACTTTTTCAGTTGTTGCTACTTCTAAGAAGAATGCTTGTGTCTCTCTGGTGTTTTCATTTCTTTACAAGGTGGTTCAGGTGAGTATGGAAGTGATATTTGTTCATATAACTAAACATATGTTTTATGTAGATATGGAAATCTTTTAATTATGTAGTGCTGTGCAGAAATGGCATATTTGGATTATAGGTGGTTATATAAAGATCTTTCAGTGTTCGTTTCTGATGTTTATTTTGTGCTGTACAGGATAAGGATACTGACAATCTTATAATAAACAGGCACAGAAAATGATACAACATGAAAGCTAGATTCAAATATTGTGAGCTTTGTGAGCATTGTTGAGGAAGCAGATTTTTAGGATGTATTTCATTAATACATGACTTGCTGAGCTGGACTAGGGAGCCTATATTGCAGTTTTGTGGCAGCATAGAGTTGAGAAAAGAAACTAACAACCTTTGTATTTTGGAGTGAAGGGAATCAAAGTTCTTCAAACAAGACTGTGTCTTAAATGTTGCATGTAAGTAGCTGTGTGCAGAGCCTTGAGAGTAGGGATGAGAATTTTAAACTCAGTGCTGTATGAAGATAAAAGTCTGGAGAGATTCTAGGGGGATATTGTGCTCAGGCTATTCTCCAAAGCACTAATTCTCAACCAGAGGTATGTATGCTCCTAGGGCCATGTCTACACTACACTGAAGATGGATGGGGTTCAATTTAGTGGATCTAGTGAAGAACCTGTAAATTGAACTCAGAGGGTGCCCCCCATCAGCATCGGTACTCCTGCTCCTCATGAGGAGTAAGGGAAGCCAACAGGAGTATTTGCTCCTGTCAGCCTGCGACTGTGTGGACGGCACAGAAACTCAGTTTAAGATATGTCAACTCCAACTACATGAGTAATGTAATAGGAGTTGCGTATCTTAATTTGACCTTCTGCTGTAGTGTAGATCAGGCCTGGAGGTGCACAGAGCTCTTCTGGGAGGGTGGGATACACCAACTCCTCTAGATACTTGCCTAATTTTACAACAAGCTAAGTCAGTACAAACTAAAATTTCATACAATTAGTAGCTTCAGAGGGGCAGCCAAGTTAGTCTGTAACAGGAAAAACTTTAAAATGCTACTAGACTTTTTTTTTAAGACTAATAAAACATTGCAGTACTACACACTGACATGTAAAAACAATATTTATATTTCAGTTAATTTTATAATTAATGGCTATTAGCCAGCATGGGTAAGGAATGGTGTCAGAAGGTGGAGATGGATGGTAGGAGAGAAATCGCTTGATCATTATCTGTTCGGTTTACTTCCTCTGGGACACCTGGCATTGGCCACTGTTGGCAGACAGGGTACTGGGCTGGTTGGACCTTTGGTCTGACCCAGTATAGCCATTATGTTCTTATAATTCTATGAGACAGTAAGCAATTTTTTAGTAAGTGTGTGCTGTTACACTTGTATTTTTATGTCTGATTTTGTAAACAAGTAGTTTTAAAGTGAGGTGAAACTTGGGGATGTGTGAGAAAAATCAGACTCCTGGAAGGGGTACATTAATCTGTACAAGTTGAAAGCCAGTGCCCTGAAGCATCTATTTCGGAAGAAAACTATTTCCTTTTCTTTGGTGACTTCTTTGCTGTGTGGCTTCTGGAAGGGGCTACTCTTCTAGGATAAGGCAAAGCTTGGCTGTACTTCATGGATGTTGTGTGGTACATTACAAACTCTGGGGTTAGCATGGGTTTTTTTTGTTTTTGTTTTCCTGGAAGGAATTTTTGTAGGCAGGCATATTCCACATACATCGTGGTTTCTTTTAATTTTTAGAGGTCACAACCCTAATTTGTCAAATAAAATAGTGGCTATGTTCATGTGTTTTTGTTGGTAGCCCCTACTTAAAAATCTATGGTTCATTATCCCTAGATTGCAAATCTCATCTTGAATGTAGAAAATTATCAAAGAGGTTTAAAAAAAAAAAAAAAAAAAAAAAAAAAGAGGGGGGCGAGGGGGGGGGAGAAGGTGAGAAGTGTGGTGTCTGTTAAATGGACATTGGAGGAATGCACTACTGCTTGAGGGGGCAGACTTTAAAAATGGGCATTTGACATCCAGTCTGGTCTGAGATGGGGCAGTGTGTTTTAGCCAGCGATTACGGATGTGTGTAAATATAAAGAACTACTTGAAAGAAGAGAAACCGAGACAAGGATTGTTAGATTTCCAATGCACAGGTTTTGAGGCTCGGCCCAGTGTTTATTTCAATAACTTGTGTTCTCTATAGAAATATCCCCAAACAAAAAATTGTTAAAGTAGTACTGGGGAGCAGGGAGTACATGTATGTGTGTGTTACACTCTTCGTGGCTTTTGTAGGCTGAGAATATTGCACGCATGGGGGCTCCTTGTAATCTTCCATTTTCTCCCACAAATCTCTGGGTGCCACCCTCCCATTCCCCTCTTTTTTTCAGAGGATCCCTGCAATTCCAGCCAGTCTCCTCCCCAAAAGGGTCTCCATGTGTCCCCTTCCATGTCCCCTTCCATACCAGGGTTCCCTCTTTCTCCCCCATACAATCAGCTTTGTGCATACCCCCATTTGCGTTTTCCTCATTTCCCTCTATAGGATGGACTCTGGCAGATCCTGGTATGGAGCACACAGTCTCCCCTCACACACGAATACATATAAACTCCAGGCATACTATGTGCCCCCACTCCTCCCTCCATGCATTTTAACATCCCCCATTTTCCCCTGTTGCAGGGGTTCCATGCTCCCTCCCTGTAGTAAGAACCCCCATTCTCTCCCCATGTTCTGTGTGAATACTCATTGCTACCTCCCTCCCCTATGCAAGGGGCTTTGTCTGCCTGCCTTTATCCTCCCCACTTCATACCAGGCAGGGTCCCCGCAATCTCCTCCCATCCACACTGGGGGTTCTGCCTGCTACATTCCCCCTTCACATAGTAGAGCTCCCCTCTTCTCTTCACATTCCAGTGGCAGTGTGCAATCTCCTCATACCTCGCATATCACTGTGTGTGGGGGGGGCGGAGAGGGGGAGTGTGGCCCATCAGCATGTTAAACTAGTGTAGTATAGAGTTTTGTAGCTGTGTTAGTCCTAGGGATGTTAGAGAAACCAGACTTTTATTGGAAAAATTTTGGTGACACACCAGCTTTTGAGCTTACATAGAGTTTTTCTTCTTACCAGCAGAAGCAGGTCCAATTTAAAAAAAATACTTCATCCACCTTGACTCTCCTAGGAGTATACACAGGAGTAGTATTGTGTGTGAAAGTATGAACGGTGCCATCAGTGAGTTCTTTGAGCTACAGACAAATGCGGAAGTGCTAAAGATCATTTTGAAATTGATTCGATGGGGTGATAAAACATTATTGTTACATTCAGTTCAATGGCATTTCTGTTTCCAATTATGGCTCTAAAATAAAGAAACTTGTTCTATTTGTGTAGTGGGAAGAAAATGAAATACTTGAAAGTCAGGAAACTTGGATTTTAAAGTTCAACAAGTTACCTTAATTCACTACTATAGGTCATCACATTTTTAATTTTCAGAAATGGAGGATTACAAGTTATGTGAATTAAACTTCACTGTTTTCTAATATTAACATTTCAGGTATTTTCTGAATATTTCAAAGAGTTGGAAGAAGAGAGCATTCGAGATAACTTTGTTATAATTTATGAATTGCTTGATGAGCTCATGGATTTTGGCTATCCTCAAACCACTGACAGTAAAATTTTACAAGAGTAAGTATCCGTGTACTTGCACTTAGATACCAGGTGACAGATGTTTTGAACACTTATGAGCATAAAGAAGTTAGTTTACATGACTTTAGAAACCGTCCTCTCTCCAGGTTATTACAACATGGGATCAATTTGTAGGTTTCCTTTTGTTTACCAGCCTGGATTAAAATCAATAGGATACTAATAACAGGTGTCCCAAAAGAGTCAGCTGAGGTCTGTCCATTAGGGAGAACTGCAAAGAATGGGACAGCCAGTCCCCCAGAGCTGGTGGTTTTCCTAGTACTTCAGTTTACTAAACTAGCACAAAACAGCCTCTCTGGTTATCCAATGGAAACAACACATTCCCTTTATCCAGACTCAGGCTCCCACCTGGACACCCAAGTCAAATAAAGTTCTACCAATCCCAAAGGATCAGATGCATTATCTCTCAGCTCATTGAATGTTTCAGACCTTATCCCAAATACACGCTTATAGCCAAGTCTTAACTAAACTAAAATGTAATAAAAATAAGAGAATATTGGTTAAAAATCATACAGACATGAGTACAATTCTAAGAGTGGATTCCTAGCAAAGGTAAGCTTTGTGATTGCAAAGAGTTCTTGCGGAATTTAGTTCATAGGTTATAGTCCATTGCTCATCATCATATTCTGTGTGTGTACGAGTTTAGGACTGGGCTCTAAATCCTTATGGTTTAGGCTTTCCCTGCATGAAGTCTTAAACAGATATGAGAGAAAAAGGATCAGGACCCAAAGGGTTTTATATAGATTTCAAGAAGCCTCTTGACATTTCAGTTCTGAGTTAACAATAGGCTTTTGAGATAAACTTCTGTTTCCCAAAACATTAAGGTAAGTAAGATAAGGCAGTTTATCCTTTAAAGAGACATATAGACAATAAAATGAATCTTGGGTGAAATAATTTCCCCTTTGATCTCCTAATCAACAGGACCTGTCTGTTTACATGGTTACTTTTACCATCTTACAAGATGCAAGCAAATATATACAATTAGTATCACTTCTAATTTCTAACAATACATGTCAGAATTCTAGCCTTAACTCTTTCTGGCCATATGTGATACTTGGCATAACATTTGTTGCAATTTTTATAACAGTTATATCAACAATGGTTTTTATGGTCGTATTATAGTTAGATGTCATCAAAAAGCTGTCAACCTTTTCCTGTCCTTGTTGATGGAATGGTACAATTTCCTATAAATACATGATCTGTCTTGACCTGGCAAAGAAATAGTATTTTCTAGGATTTAATTTGAATTAATATCAGACTTCTTTTGTTTGCTGATGACCTGTGACCTTAAGTGAATTACTAAAGGGTACAAAATGTAACTTTTGTATTTAAATAAGAAACTTATGTGATTCTGAAGGTACATCACTCAAGAAGGCCACAAACTGGAAACTGGAGCTCCACGCCCACCTGCCACTGTTACCAATGCTGTTTCCTGGCGGTCAGAAGGGATAAAGTATAGGAAAAATGAAGTGTTTCTGGATGTTATAGAATCTGTTAATCTCTTGGTGGGTTTGTATTTTACTTGTAGTTTATTTTGTTTTTTAATGAGAGTTGTAGTAATCAGTAAATATGCAAACACAAAATGGAAGCAGAAATCAGTGTGAATAGCTTGATCTATAACGTTTTAGTATTTCATTTGAAACAATTTACATGTCTCCAAATGGAGTGATCAACAGTGATAGTACCTTATGTTGCTGTACACGCAGGTACATGAGTATGACTTATATAATAGACTTCAATAGATTTTTTTCAGCCATCAGGGAGCTTCTTTTCCATTCTAAACTTGAAAAACATAGGGACTCTTTATATTCCTGCCTACCCCTCACTCTCTGAATAAAACAAACTCTCTTCTACTCTCATGGAATGACTCCAGTGTTATTTGTAGTCCTGTTGGTCCCAGGATATTAGAGACATGGTGTATTATCTTTTATTGGGCCAACCTTGGTTGGTGAATGAAACAAGCTTTTGAGCTACATAAAGTGTCTTTTCAGACTTGAAAAAGCTCTGTGTGTCACAGCTTGTCTTTTGAAAGTGCTATGCAGGTTTCCTTTTGAGTATCATGACTGACAGAGTGACTGCTTTATGAACAGTGTACACCCACAAGTGATAGGGTGTATTTGTCCTTTATCGTTTTACTGTGGGAGTTCATTTGAGAGGTGGTATGGTTTTTACCCAGATTGTTTGTTACTGGAGTACTTAGTGCATTGGATGAAGTATACCACATGTGCTAGGCATGTGTAGGATCCACGAACCTTGAAAGGTTCATTGTAGAAGGTGTTTGTTGTATCTCCACTGCTACAATGATCTGTAGGTTTCGCACCTGTTGTCCTGGCAGGATCTGGTGCCCCTTTAAGTAAGTGTGTTCTGGTCTTTGGCGACTTTACCTCTGACAGTGATCTTGGAGAGGTTAAAGGGTAGTTTGTTTCGGAATCCCTCCTTTCTGGCTTTCAGTCTGTTTCAAGATAAGGTCCCCATTGGGTATTGGTTGTATTGTTTCATGATCTCTCTTCCCCCTGCCCCACCCCCATATGGCTTCTGGTGAAGGATGGTAGATAACAACTAGGGGTGAGGTCCAAGGGGATTTTATTTCTGTATTGAGGCAGGTTTTCTCATGGTATTTGAGTGGCCCGTTCCATGATGTGATTTATTTCTCTGAAGGGGATTGTTATTATTTGGTGAATGCAGTTTTGTGTGTGTTAAGGTGGCGATTCAAGCGTCTATCTTTTTAGACCTGTGGTGGTATCAGTGTCTGGCTGAAGATAACCATTTTCTGGGGGTGGGTGGGGGTGTGTGTGTGTGTGAGAGAGAGAGAAACTGTTGGATCTACCACACCTACTTTAGATCCAGCAAGCACTTAAAGAAACAATTTCTCAATTAGTGTCTGTCTTGTAGGGTTGATGATAGGGTGATGATAGGGACACCCACAAGTGATAGGGTGTATTTGTCCTTTATTGTTTTACTGTGGGAGTTCATTTGAGAGGTTGTGTGGCTTTTACCCAGATAGTTGTTACTGGCACACTTAGTGCTATCATTTTAATACATACATGTTATCATTTTCAAATGTATTGTAACAATCTTATTACCTATTTGTTAGCAAACAAAACTTTATATATCCTCGATTAATAAACATGTTCACTAACACACGAGACCTTTCAGTGTAAATGTGCAAATTTATTGAAAATATTGTTTCCCAGGATTGACTGAGTTTTCAATATTGTTTATTTTGAGACCCTAATCTTGTGAAAACAAGGAAGTGTAAAATCATTGTACCTAGTTGTTAAAGATTGTTCCAATAGCTGAGGAGAATGACTTCACCTTTCTTTGCTCTTTAGGTTAGTGCCAACGGAAATGTATTGCGCAGTGAGATAGTTGGATCCATTAAAATGCCAGAGCTTCGCCTCGGTTTAAATGATAAAGTACTCTTCGATAATACAGGACGTGAGTATGTATATAGCATTTCTAAAAACATACAGGCATATTTCCTCGTTTCTTTGTCTTTAGGTCACCTTAAGGCAATGCAACACATCAGACAACAAGATTTATTTAGGATGGTGTGTCTTCTCATTTACTAGTTGAGGAGGTTGTATTGCTATATAAGAGTAAAGAGTAATTTTAGTGTTACAAATTAAATGATTTGCTATCAGACGGGAAGCACTCTTCGGGTGGATGTGAAGTGTAAAATATTAATGTATTATTGACCATGAAGACCTGATCTTCATTCAGTTAAGGAACTTTCCATTTCTAGCCTGAGTGGTATGCCAGTGATTTCCACTACATAGGCCTGGGGTGGGTAATAATTTTTGTTGGGGAGGCCACTAGGGGTGTGGTGAGGTGAGGTTGTAGGGCAGGCAGCGCCTAAGCTGTAGGGGTGTGGTGAGGTGAGGTTGTAGGGCAGGCAGCGATCTGGGAGAAAGTTTGGGTGAAGGAAGAAAGTTGTGACATGGGACAGGAGACTGGGATGCAAGAGGGTGTGCAGAATACAGGAGAGGGATATGGGTGCAAGAGAGGATTCTGACCTGGAGGAGAGTGTAGGGTCTGAGAGGGTTGTGACCTGGGGCAGGAGTTCACGGTATGTGTGTGCAGGAATGTGAGTAGTGACTGGGGATAAGGAATTGGGATGCAGCATCTGGGAGTGGGTTGTGACCTGGAGAAGGGATGTAGGAAGGGGAGCAGGACTGGGAAGTGGTTGTGACCAACAGTAGGAGATTGAGGTGTAAGGTCTGTGAGGGAATTGTTACCTGTTGTAAGAGGGAGTGCAGGATCTGGGAGGGGGTATGGGTGCAGGAGCAAGGATGCAAAGGGTTGGGGTTACATGGGGTAGAGGGGCAGAGGATTAGGGAAGGGAAGGACTGGGGTGCTAGAGGCAGGCTGTGGCAGGGAGGTGCTTATCTGGATTTCTCCTGGCCAGTAGCCCTGCCCAGTAGGTTCCTCAGCCAGGTAGGAGCCATATCCGTTGCTCTGAATGCTGCAAGATGAGGGGAGCAGTACATTGCGTGCTGCTGGCCCTCCAAATAGGCAGCTCTCATTGGCCAGAAACTGGCCAGTGGGAACTGCAAGATTGTGTGCAGTCTCTCCTTCACACCCAGCAGGCTTGCAGTGTTCAGAAAACTGCTCTCAGTAGCATGTGGGGTCAGAGCAGGCAGGGAGTTGGGCTCCTGCTATGTCCTTGGGTCATGTTTTGCCTGCCCCAATATAGGCTTATATCGCTGTGAATTTAAAGAATTGTCATTTATTTTAGCTCCAGTTACCCATGTTATATGCAAATTTGATGCCCCCTGTTATTGTTGAAAATTATTTACAATTAAGTTGTAATTTAAAGAAGAATGTTATAGAAGGAGCTATTCCCAGTGCAAAAATTAATCCCGGCCCTTAAGTTTGCAGTATTAATATTTTAGTGTTTTCTTATTTTTAATACAGGAGATTAAATGTGGGAATTGGCAGGTTGAGATATATGGAGATGTATATCCACAGTCTGTGAACTAAAGAGGAGGTCATGGGAGGGGAGTTGAGGAGGAAGTAAAATATTGGACAGCCTCTCTAACCGATTGCACACACATAGCAACTGTGACAGGTGCAGTCACAGAAGACCCCGGGGGATTGTTCCCCAGTGTGCTGATCATGCCACACTGCTTCCTGCCTCCTTGCTTTCTGGGGCTCCCCGCCACCTTGTCCTGCTGGGCCAGATCCTCTGGTCTCCTCCAGACAAGGCAGAGAGTTGAGGTAACTGCCCCCTGCAGAGCAGTGCAGACCCTGAACCACTTCAGCTCTGGGAGGACACAGTTGTAGGGGTCAGCACCCAGGAAACCAATCCCCAAAAGGAATCAACCCCCCAAATTAATCTGTCTTTCTCCGTGCAAGTTTTACACAGTGAAAGCTCATCAGGAAAGCACCCTTTATCAATGAAAGAGAGCTGCACAGTGGTTGCTTCTCCCAGCTAACAATTACTTACATTAGGCCTGATAGTAAACAAAAGTGTTTTATTAAATACAAACAGTAGGATTTAAAGGGTTGCAATTAAAAACAGATACAATTAAGTTGCTAAATTAAAATGAATAGAAAAGACATAGCTCGTTCTAATTCACTAAGAAACTTGTCACATGCAAATTTTTACCCTAAACAGCTGTTCTTAGTTCAGGTGGTATCTTCCAAGACCCAGATGATCTTTTATTCTGAAGTGGGTCTCCAGTTCTCTTTAAGGTTCTTTTTCCAGTTAAGAAGTGCCAGGCATTTTCCAAGGCCAGCAGAAGATAAAGGGCTGATAGATTCCCATTGTTTAAATAGACTTTCTCCCAGGGCAGGAAGTTTTTGTTTGGCATCTCCCCTCCCATGGAAAAACACCAAGTTCAAAATGGGTTCCAGTACCAGGTGCTATGGTCACATGTCTTTGTAGACCAGCGGTCTCCAATATTTTTAACCACAAGATCACTTTTTCCATTTAAGTGCAATGTGAGATCTACCTCAACCCAAATACCCTTGCCCCACTTCCTTCCTGCCCCTTCTTTGAGGCCCTGCCCCTGCTTCACCTCTTCTCTGAGGCTTCACCCTGCTCACTTCCTCCTCTTTCCTCCCCCATCCTCACTCATTTTCACCAGGCTGAGGTAGGGGGTTGGGATACAGGGTCTGGTCTTGGGCCAAGGAGTTTGGGAGGCACTCTAGGCTTAGCCCAGGTTAGAGGATTGGTGTCCAGGAGGGGTTTGGGTGCAGGGGGACTCACATCTGGGACAGTAGGTTGGTGTAGGTGTAGGTTCAGGGCAGAGATAGGGGTTCAGGAAGCAAGCTCTGGCTGGGCACTGAGATGGCTTCTGGTTGGTGGAGCAGTGAGGTTAAGGCAGGCTTACTCCTGCCCTGGCCCTGCACCACTCCTGAAATCAGTTGGCATGCACAGCAATGGCTCCATGGCGCCATTTGCTGCCCCTCATACTCAGGCACTGCTTCTACTGGCCACAGTTCCCCATTATTGATCAATGGGAGCTGCAAGAGCAGTGTCTGCAGGCAAGGACAGCATGTGGAGACTCCCTGCTCTGCCTTTCTCAGGGGCTGCAGGAACATGCCAGCCACTTCCAGGATTAACAATTACCGTAGGGATATTTACTCCAGTTAGGCATTTTAGAACTCGCTACTCAAATAATTACATTTAAGTGTAAGAGAGAAATGAAAATTATGAAATGCACAGACCAGTCAAAAACCAAAACTAACCCACTTTGCAAGCAGTAAAAGTAGTGGTATCCTCCTCCTTACCCCCTGCCCCAATGTATGTGTTGGTTCAGGAGATGGGGGTGTGTGTGTGTGTGTGTGTGTGTGTGTGTGTGTGTGTGTGTGTGTGTGTGTGTGTGTGAATCACACACACACGCACACAGAGTATGTGGCAGTGACAGATTTGCATTGCCAGGCTCCCTCCATCCCCTGTGTGGAGATAGGGTTCAAAAGTGGGGGGAGGAGGGACACCCTGACATCAGTGCCTCACCTTCTCCCTCTCACACCTTGCACAGCAATCAGGAGGTGCCCGGGGGGCAGCTCCAAGGCAGAGGCAGGAGCAGCATGAGTGGGTGAAGGGGCAACTGAATTGCCAGCTCTTGACAGCTTCCTGGCCAAAGCAGTCAGGATGACTAGTCAGGGGCTCCAAGATCGACCAGTAGATCCCAATCTACTGGTTGGTGACCACTGTTCTAGCCTAACCACCTTCTGGATTTACAGGATAAACAAGGCTGTTCATAAGTTGTTGGGTTGATCACCAAGCCTTCTGGCACATCAGTAATAGCTCTTATTAGCACATTCAAAAGTATAAACTGGTTCATGCTTCATGTTTCTGACTTCACATAAAAGATTGATGCAAGCACAAAATAAGATATACAAGTCCACCAGATTATAGAAATAAAAAGGTTACTTGAGGTATGTTGTATAAAGCATCTTCGAGTTATGCATATTTATACTCTCAAGCCAATTTTCATAAAGCTGGGCGGGGGGAACCATCACAGCAACATCATCCTGTTTTGTGCACTTGTGAAATGTCAGGGGGAAATACCTCTTAAATTCTTGGGACATGTAAATGCTTTTCTTTCCCTTCAGACCAGAAGTCCAATACTGTATTTCCAGTGACAGTACTGAGCAAAGAGAACAGAATACCTTATTTAAGTTGGTCTGCTTCAATGGGCTACCTCCACTCTCTTTTCACTAAGGGCATGTCTACACAGCAGTGTTATTTCACACTAACCGGCATTATTCCACATTATGAGAAGTTATTTGGTCATATTGTCAAAATAATGGCAAGCTGGAGGACTTCTTACTCCGACTCCTGTAACCCTCATTTTATGAGGAGTAAGGGAAGTCAAAGGAGGAGTGCTTTTTCTCAGCTGTCCTGCTGTGTGGACAGCACCAAAAGCCGAAATAAGTTATTTTGACTTAAGCTGCACAATTGATGTAGCTGAAGTTGCATAACTTAATTCGGCTTTAGCCCTGCTGTGTAGATGTGCCCTAAGATTCCTAAATGTACTATAATGAATTAGATGTAGAATAGAACTATTATGGCGACCATGAGCAGCTGACCGCTCAATTGCTTTATAAAATGCAATGATTGCCTAAGACAGGGTGGGCAGATACCAGCCCACAGGCCAAATCCAGTGTATTGGGGCTAGCTCCCAGCAGGCCCTCATACTGCTCTGTTTACCTGTGCCTCCGCAGGTATGGGGAATCACAGCTCCCATTGGCCATGGATCGCCGTTCCTTTGGAGGTACAGGTTAATATAGCAGCAACAACCCATCAGGGGCTAACCTGGTGAACTGCCACTGTTTTATTGCCCACCCTTGGCCTGAGAGAGAGGTTTTTTGTTTTTTGGCTGTTCAAAAACTCCTCCTAAACAATAATAGCTAGGACCACCAAATTCACTATACAGCTTCCTCTTATCATAACTTAAAGCAACTTAAAGGTTTGGTTGTGCCAGAAAAATTTTATATGCTTAGAATGGGATTGCTTCTCAGAAAACCATACAGAAGAGAGAATCACCAGGCAAGTGAAAGGGGTTGGCTGGGGGAGCTGTCGCACCACCTCTCCCCGGTCCAGGGCTACACAAGCCTCCCACTCTCCGGATACCCTTTAGGAAAGGCGAGGGGTTTGAAGTATCCACCCCCAATTCACATGGGAGCATTGCTGGCTGTACTCCAGGGAGCAAGGGGAAAGTGCACCGTTTGTTGTATTCATCACTCTGGGGAGAGCAGGGGGCAGATGAACGTGGACTTGCCTCTGCCAGGGGACATATACCCCTTACCTGGCTGTACCCACTGGAGCTGCAGCAGCCATGGAGAGGAGTTTTTCACTAGGGATATAAGCGACTAGTCGCTTCCCTCTTCTTGCTGCCACTGTTAGAGGCAGCGAGGGGAGAAGCAGAAGCCAGTGCTGAGGGGAGCCAGCTTAAAAGCTGATTCCTCCCAGCACCTTCTCCAGGGTGCCACCATACCGCTTCTCCTCCACTGCCTCTATCACTAGCCTGTTACAGGGGCTGCTGGACTCAGCATGAGCTGGGACCAAGCAGTCTGGTTCCAGATGCTGCACTTCTGCATTTTGAATATAATAAGAGCCCAGCTTCTGAAGCTACCCCTGCTGCGGTTCTGCAGAGTGGTCCTATCGACTAATCATATTGTATCAACTATACGATTACCTAGGTAACTGCAATTTAACATCCTTACTTCTCACCTGGCTCCGACATGCTGCAGTGAGAGGGGACTGGATAGCCCTCTCTCCCCGGGACAGCCTGCATTCTGAACCTTTGGCATTGGAAAAGTTTCAGAAAAGGGCAACAAAAATGATTAGAAGTTTGCAACATGTCTGAAGGGAGATTAAAAAGACTGGGACTTTTCATCTTAGAAAAGAGGAGACTAAGAGGGGATATGTATGTTAGAGAGAGGTCTGTACAATCATGACTGGTGTGGAAAAAGTGAATAAGGAAAAGTTATATAAGAACTAGAGGTCACCAAATGAAATTAATAGGTAGCAGGTTGAAAACAAACAAAAGGAAGCTTTTCTTCACACAGTGCACAGACAACCTGTGGAACTCTTTGCCAGAGGATGTGGTGAAGACTAGAAGTGCAACAGGGTTCAAAAAAGAGCTAGATAGATTCATGGAGGTTAGGTCCATCAATGGCTATTAGGAGGGGTAGGAATGGTATCCCTAGCCTCTGTCTGGAAATGGGTGACAGGAGAGGGATTATGTGAGGATTACCTGTTGTGATCCCTCCCTCTGGGGCATCTGGTATTGGCCACTGTCAGCAGACTGGATACTGGGCTAGATGGACCTATGGCCGTTCTTATGTTCTTAACCCCTCATCCTCATCCCAGAGCAATGATTTAAATGAAGCATGCACATTTTCATTTTAGTTCCAAAAAACAATAATTGAATTAAGGACCTGACCAATGCCGCGTAAATCTTCAAGCGTGCTATACAAATTGTGGTTTGTTTTCCTGATAGGTGGCAAAAGCAAATCAGTGGAACTAGAAGACGTAAAGTTTCACCAGTGTGTTCGTCTCTCTCGTTTTGAAAATGATAGGACAATTTCTTTCATCCCACCTGATGGAGAGTTTGAACTCATGTCATATCGTCTTAATACCCACGTAAGTTTGGCGCATATTTTGACCTAAAGTTAAACAAATTCATGGATGAAAATATCTTAAATTCTGGATAAAACTGTAAAAGCCTCCTGGACTTTTCTTATTTTTTTTGTGCTCTATATGAAAGTGTATAACATTTTTCTGACTAGTCAAAACTTACACGTGTTTGTTCTCCAACAGGTGAAACCACTAATCTGGATTGAGTCTGTGATTGAGAAACATTCCCACAGTCGCATAGAATATATGATCAAGGTCAGAGATCCAAAAATGGCCACTCTTAATTTCAGTCTCCTTCTACAAGGCAAACTACTGTATGTAAATAACAAAATGTGTGAAGTAGGATAGTTTTAAAGTATACATTTGCTTTCTGGAAAGCCACTCCTTTCATAAATATTTATCTAATTTTAAGTAATTCAAAACTTATTCAGCTAGTGCAGAGGATATGTTCTTTCCTGTAAGGCAGTTTGATTTTATATAAGACAAGTTTCTTAATAAAATAAGTCTAAATATGTTAATAGGATTGTAATGGATTATTTTAAATCTTTTGCATACTTCTGTTTGACAATTTATCCAGTTCTGGTTTCTGCATTATACTTTTGTGCATACATGTTCCATAAGACTTCTGACCGAAAGGATGTTTTTACAGTTTGCAGCTCTTTGAACCTGATCAAATAAGATTTTGTTAAAAGCTGCAGATTGCGTTGGTTGTGGAGAAGTGGGAAATTTTTTTTAAATCCTGCATTGCTTGCTTTCTCTAGGCAAAAAGTCAGTTCAAGCGGAGATCAACTGCCAATAATGTGGAGATTCACATCCCAGTGCCAAATGATGCAGATTCACCAAAATTTAAAACCACAGTGGGAAGTGTCAAATGGGTTCCAGAGAACAGTGAAATTGTCTGGTCCATTAAATCATTTCCGGTAAGCTATACTGGTGTGGTGGCATTCCCTATCAATGCTGCTGTTAAACTACTGTGGGTTTCATTATAAGTAAATCTTCTGTTTTAAGAATTGAGTCTAGAGTGAATTTTAGTATAAAATCTAGAATTTGACTGAAATTCACTCTACACTTGATTTAGTTCTTACTGTTGGATTACTAGTACCATTTGCTTACCCTCTCCCCTCATTGTAGGGTGGGCACTTGAGTCACCAAGTACTTAAGGTGGGGGTGGGCAATAACTTTTAATGATGGGTCACTCCAAGATTTTGGCAAGTGCTCAAGGGCCACATTTCTACTGAGGGGGTCTGGGACAGGTTGGGTGTAGAAGGGAGCTTGGGGTAGGAGACTGGCATGTTGGAGTGTGTGTGGAGTCTGAGAGGGAGTTTGGGTGAAGGAGGGGGTTGTGATATGGGGCAAAGGCTTGGGGTGCAGAGTCTAGGAGAGAGTATGGGTGTAGGAGAGGATTTTGGCCTGAGGGAGGGGCTCTAGGAGGGGGTGCAGGGTCTGGGAGGGAGTTGTGACCTGGGTGCAGAGGGTTTGGGTGATGGCTTGGGGATGGGGGTATGGATGCCAGAGGGGATTCTGGCCTTGGGGAAGGGTGTAGGTGAGGGTGCAGGGCCTGAAAGGGAGCTCTGAGCTGGGGGAAAAGGGTATAGAGAGTTTGGGTGGTGGGCTGAGGCAGGTAGTTGAGGAGGAGAAGAAAGAAAGCAGGGGTGCCAGAGGCAGGCTCTGGCTGGGAGGTGCTTACCTAGGCAGCTTCCAGTCAGCAGCCCTGCAGGAACCTGAAGACTGCAGTCAAAAGCTGCTCCATGGGTAGGGTGAAGGGAGGGAGGAGGCTTCATTGGCTGCCTCTGCCACCAGCAAAATCTCTCAGCTGCTATTGGCCAGAAACTGGACAGTGGGAGCTGAGAGATTTTGCTGAGGGGTGGGGCAGAGCACAAAGCCTCCCTCCTCGCTCCCAGAATAGAACAGCTGTATTTCAAGTGGCTGCCATTGCGCTGTACTTAGAGTCCCAGCGAGGGAGCTGCAGGCTGGATCTGGTGGCTTGGCAGGCCAGATGTGGCCCACTGGCAGCCTCTTGCCCACCCCGATGTAAGATAATCATATGAAACTGGAAAAGCAAACAGGAAATCTTACTGTTTTTTCTCATTAAGATATTAGTAACTTAGTGCTCAGTTTTAGCCTTTCAGAAAAGAGCTATGTGACTGTATCTTCATGTCTGAAGCACTTTGGTTTTTAAAGGATATTTTCTTGTACAATGTTTATTTTGCCTCTCTTTGGATAGGGTGGAAAAGAGTATCTGATGCGCGCTCACTTTGGTCTTCCAAGTGTTGAAGCTGAAGATAAAGAAGGCAAACCTCCTATCAGTGTCAAGTTTGAAATTCCATATTTCACCACTTCAGGAATACAGGTTAATAAGAGTAAAAATGTTAATTTTTGTGAAATGGAATCTTCGTTCATTTAGCTCTTTGAGTGTAACTGTGGTTTTATAAGTAGAGTCCTACGCAGATTTTGTATCTGTATCCACAAAAATGAGCCACAGATATGTGAATCCATATCTACAGATGCGGATATGAAGTGGATATCCATGAATTTGCAGGGCTTTATTTATAAGGTACAAAATGCAGCTTCGTCAGATGCATGTAGTGGAAATTTCCAGGCGGGAGATGAGGGGGGGGAGCCAATCAGGGAGGATGAGGCCCACTTCAAGAAGTGGGTCTCATCCTCCCTGATTGGCTCCACCTCGTCATCTCTAGCCTGATTCTGGCCTGCTTATTTATACCTGCCTCTGGAAATTTCCACTACATGCATCTGACGAAGTGGGTCTTTGCCCACGAAAGCTTATGCTCCAACACTTCGGTTAGTCTACAGGACTTCTCGCCGCTTTTGCAGATTCAGACTAACATGGCTATCCCTCTGCTAGAATGCAGCTTATCACTTTAAATTCAGCTATAGAGAAATATAGATCTGTTTGAACAATGTGTATGATCTTTTCAGTCGAAGTTTTTTTTAAAAAAAACCCTTACAATAACTGTTTGAAGCCAGTCACAATTAACTTTCTCCTGTCTAATGGAGTGTACTCCATTTTTCTACTTCTAAGCCAAAATAGGTCTAAAATAGATACAGAAGGCAGCAACTAAAAGAGATCGAGTAATTTCTGAATCTAGCTCAGTTTTGGTTTTTTAATTATTTTCAGAAGTTTTACTGTTTATATTTAAACTGTAGGATTAGTATTTGTCCTGTTGGTGCTTTAAATATATTGAACTTCCAGAAACTGTACTTAAGTTGAGGATTCAGTGAACCTGTTCATCTTAAGATTTTATGCAAAACTTTTGTTATCTTTTGTAAAAACAGTAGAAATTATATTAGGAATATGGGAATGTTATTGCAAGATCAATCTAATGACCCATCCAGTCCCAATACCTTGTTTCAGACAATGGCTAGTTCTACATGCTTTAGGCAATGTGAAAGAAAATCCTCTATAATGGATAATTATGGAATAACCTATACTCAAGGGAAGTTTCTTCCCAACCATTTCTGAAACTGAATCATCTGGATTTGTTAACTTTAAAAATCTGTCTAACGTAACTGGTTGCTTTTATTATCTTTAATCTTCTTACCTATCTTTTGTATATATTGAATAAAAATTGCTTTTCCAGTTAACTAATTTAAAGTCATTTTTTAAATTTAGTTTTATGTCCCCCTTGCTTTTGAGAGGGTAAAAAAGTTCTCTTACACAAAATAAGGAGTAACAGAGAGGGTATCTCATTATTTTGTCTACACTCTGAATACTCTCTCTGTTTTTCATGCAAGCATTCCATTCTTTTAATTTTGTCCTCTGACTCCGAATACCTCCTATTTCTGCTGTATCGTTTTGAGATGTGACCAGAACTGTGCACATTAGTCCAGCTGAGCTACCAGTTATTTACAGGATGGCATGATACTTCTTCTTTTGTAACCCGTCACAACATTCTACTCTCTCTTTTGGTTCCTGCTGCTCATGGGACTGTTCATAATGGTTTTCAAGACTTTTTGTCTAAAACGCATGTGTATGCTGAAGTAGAAAAGTAATTTAATCTTTTCTTTTCAGGTCCGCTACTTAAAGATCATTGAGAAGAGTGGCTATCAGGCGCTGCCATGGGTTCGCTATATTACCCAGAATGGAGGTAAATTTCAGAGCTATGGACTGTGTACACTAAAGTTCCCCATGTAGTTTTTCCACTAATGCACTTTTTAAAAAATGTGCAGTTTTACTAGAAATTATATTAATAAAGGTATTTCTTCTTCACCTACCCTGCTGTTGCTGTTATGGAAATTCCACAATCATATTTTTACAGTTAAGTTTGGGTTTAGTATTTTGCACCAGAAGCAGAGATTTAACCCCTTTGGTATATACAATTTAAGAAAATACACAGTGTGGAGAAAAGACTGGCAATGTGACCTTTAGTCATGGAAGCTGTTAAGCATGTGGAAAGGTCCATTTGGGTGAACAGAAATTCCTATTAGCTGGAATGTTTAATTCTAATGTGGCAAAGTTTCCTTTAAATGGTTTTTGAGCATGTAAACAGATAGTATTCTTCTAGCATGGTCTTTTTACAAATCTCATTTTTACTTGAGTAATCTTTGCTTTAATTTGGTATTATTCTATATATTTCTGATCTGATATCGCTACTCTTATTTAATAAAAGGTGAATGAAGTTGACTGACTTTTCTGGATTTCTTTTTCTCTTGCAGATTATCAGCTCCGAACACAATAATACTTTTCCAATCAGAACAGATGACAAATCTTCAGGTCTAGAATATGTAGAAAACGTCATGGTAGTCAAGGCTGTGAACATTGTCTGCGGGGGCATTGTATCAGCAAAGTTGAAATGAGGAGGAGAAAGAATCTGGGTTTTTTTTGTATTATGTTCAACACTAAGTGTTTGGACCATTAGTGCAGGTTGTATGAATGTATGTCTTAGAGCACGTTATTTCCGGCTAAATACTGATCATATTAGGAGTAGCAGTTATTTTGAGAAGCCAGGATTGCCTTGCCAGTCTTACTTCAAAGTTTCAAGAGTCCATATTTTAAGAGTGTATATATCCTCTTTAAAATCATTGGAAGCTTATTTAAAAGCTAGGGAGGTTGTGTTGCAACTGAAGTGGCTATTAAGCATTCTTAGTTGTAAATAACACTGAGCCATTATTTTACATTGAAAACACCTGACACTTTTGAGGATTATTTCTTAGTTAAAACTGTTAGCTTGCAAAAGAATTCTTAAAGGCAGTGAGGAGTCAAGAATGGTTAGGTCCTATGTTCAAAAATAATTGTTTTTGTTGGCATAGTTAAGCTCATTTGATATCTGTCAAAACTTGAGATTTTTGGGGGGGAGGGGTTGTGTTTAAACATAAATTTGATTAAAAATACAGGTGCATTAACTACTGTATTAGCTTGAGGAGGAAGAGATGTCAAGAATAAATATGGTCTCTATGCAGTATCATGGTCAATGCTTGTTTGAATTATGGAGCCAAGAAGTAAAGCTGAGGAATCCAAACAAATTAAGAAAACTCAGTATCAACTATCCTATAACATTTGATTGACTTAGATATTTCTGCAAAATACATTTAAAAAGTAAACCTGAAACTTCCGATTAAACATTTAAAAGCCAAAATGGCTAAAACAAAGTTCAGCAAATGGAACATGTTTGTAAGTAGTACTTCAGGCACTTCCTGATGATCAATGGCTGTCATTAGAGGGGCTGGGCAACAGAAGATAATAAGAAATTACATATCTGCCATCTAGTTTAAATTTAGATATGGAAAAATTTAAATTTCAAGAATTTACATTTTCTTCAGATTCTACTTTTTTTGCCAACTTTCTGGCAGAATCTTACAGTTTCATACTTTAGAACTATGAAGATGCTGCAAAACTGAATAGCTATTATATAGTTTTTTCAATTTCAGAAAATGTTAAAGTGGTTATTTCAGTGTTTTCTTTAAAAAGGACTAAACACTTTTGTTCTAGTGTAAATTTATTTGCTTCTGCCAGATTTTAGCTTAACAGCCTTGAAGAGGGACTATCACTGTTCACAGCTGATGCAGTGAACGGAGTGGGTGTGCAAGTTTTCCCACCCCTATTCTGCCATTCTAAAGTGCTTCAACCCTGCCCCAGAGGGGAGAGAGGGTAGGTCACTGTGCCCATTTGTGATGTGTAGATATGTGGACTGTGTGTCTACACACATTATATACAAAATCCCCCTGAGCAGTTTAGCATTGATATTAGGAAGATTTGTTTCAGAAAAGACCAATTTGCCTAAAGATCATCACAGCATTGATATTAAAGCATCTAGAAGCACATCATGGTAGCTTGAGAATTGGAATGTTAAATGTAGGTGCAGGTATTTTTATAGAGTAGGGTTATTAGATTTTATTACTCACCAAAACGTTACAACAAGTTAAAGCCTCTTATTCAAGATTTTTATGTTACTACTTCCATTTTCGGTTGAAATTTTAATCTTGGAGACCAAACTGACCATTTTGCAAGTTTAATGTGAAGTGTTTAGCTAACCTGTTACAGAACCTGTCAGATATTGTCTTCAGTCTACATTGTTTATGCAGTCCTTTTATTTACGTGCTTGTTAAATGTGGCAGTTATAATTGCAGTTTTCCATGTTGAAGCTTGTACCTTACAAACCACAACAGTATTTTACGGACTCTTTGCAGCTGCTGAAGTTTGATTATGTTGCAGAGTGGCCAAAGGCAGCAAAGAATCTTTCTTGCAGCATTAACCTCCACTGTCATTCTTCCGTAGCTAAAGGGTCTGAAACTGCCTGTGGATCAAAAGTACCTCCAGGGAAGAGGATTGACTCTGAACTTGTGGAGCATGTTTTATAAATGCTGAAAGTATTAATTTTTAATATGCCTGATTTAATTATCATCCTGTGTGAGAGAATTGTCGACATTTTAAATGTTTGCAGTAGGCAAGTCAGTTAATTAAATGTGCATATTTATCAAACTGGACAATTACAATAGAAAGACCTTCACAGTTTTGTCATTACCAGATACTTCAAAAAAGACCAATTTAGTCCAACGGTTGCCCAAATGTTCTGTATTTACATACAGACAGAAATAAGAGCTAATAATACATTAGTTTCGTGTTGGTCTTTGTTTAGAGAGTATTTATCTATTCCTCTTCCTTTGGCTATTAAATTTGTTCTTTTATAATTTGCAGTGCTGTCTTCATTTTACATTGGTAACATATCGCCCCCCGGGCTGGCTTCTGTAACTTTACTTAATACACAGTGGCAGACTGCCAACTAGTTTTCTTCTGGACAGTTATTTTTAAAAAAAAAAAAAAAATATATATATA